ACTCTTTCCAAGTACGCATTTTTAAAGGTTTGCTTATTATACTTGGTCTGGCCCTTTCCAGAGCCCTGAACTCTGGCATCATCTGAATCTAACAGGGTGCTTATTACCTAGGTCCTCAGGAGGGGGTTTGCACCTAATTCTATATATACAAGAGACCATTGACAGTTTTTAAGTTGAGTGTGTTTTGGAAGAACTAATCAGTATTATTATTGAACTTGCATTTAACTGTGCATCTGTCTCTCTCTTTTTTTTTTTTTTTTTGGAAAGGTTTTTGCTATAGGGCGCGTGCACTTGCCAGACAGACAGAGACAGAGAGATAGAAAGCGAGAAATCACCCTCCAGGGGAGCTGGCCACACCGCAATCCCTTCTCCTTCATTCTCCTCTCAGAATCTTGGACACGCACACACACACACGTGATGTGCCCGGCGTGAGTTTTAAGCCACCGGGTCCAGGACTCGAACCGCAGTCAACTACATGGGAGTCCAGTGACATAGCCATTGCGCTAACTGCTGGTCCCTGTGCATCTCTCTTGCTGAGTATTCACATCATCTGAACAAAATGATGAAAATATACTATGAGACCTATGTGGCTTTCTTTGCAACTGAATCTCTCTCCTCACCTTGCCTCCCCCTCCAATGTGTAGGCTCTCTTCACTAGAGAGGGCCCCCTCACAGGTGGAAGAAGAAGCTCCTTAGTATTTGATGAGTTTGACACTGACCTTCAGATCTCAGTTCTCCACCCACACCTTCCAGAGGCCAGTCTAGCTCTGCATCCTGGAATCCCCTGCTCGCTTATTCAGTCCTCAGCCATTCCTACAGCGGGAGTGGGGCTGCTCCCTCTGGACTGTCAGATCTGGACTCAGTCCAAGCTCATCCACGTGGGGCCAGGCTTGGAGCTCTTCTCTGCCTGGCTCTCCGTGGGGAGCAATTTACAACACACTTATCTCTGGGAATTCACTGCTCTGTGGGGCATGGGTCTGATTATCTCCCTAAACCTGTCTGTCATTCAGAACACAGAAGGAACACTAAACAAAGACCTCTATATCAATTTATAGCATTTTATTCTCGTTACAGCTCAGATGATATCACTGCAATGCTATCACACTGGAGGTTGGGCCAGGCCCAGAAGCAGTCACCACTATGCAATGTTAATTCTCTGAGGGTGACTCACACCCTTATCTCCAGCTGGTGGTCTGGCTCTGGCTTCTTCAACTGACCCATAAAACTGAGCTCCTACTTGGGTACATGGCAGTCAGAAACAGCTAGGAAGTTGTCCGGATTCCCTACCACAGGCCAGTGAAGGCCACTTCCCTCCATCCAGCCTAGATAAACGGTCTCTCCCTTCCAGCTTTGCTGTGCATGTAGTTCTTCTCCGTGCGAAAATGGCTGGCCGCACAGAAACACTGAAAGCAGGCAAGATGCACGAATACCTTATTCTATCACCTCCTTCATTGTGTTGTTAAAATCAAGGCATCTGTTAAACATCCAGAGTGAAAACTCATTCTTACATTAGAAAAAGTAGAGTTGCCAGGTACGTCTCTGTGCCCTTTCGGTAAAATCCTAGACAGGCGCCATGACGCCTGTTCTCTGATCTGTCAAAGAAAGTAATGAAAGATATGAGTTAAATAGATTTCTGAAATCATCTGAATCCCATTTAATTAATTCCACAGGGAAAAATTCTTCAGGTAGAAAAGTCAAACTGAGCTGCTGCTGCAATAAAAATGAAACATTTCCAGCGACTTCACTTGTCTAAATAAGCTACATGACCTTGGGCATGTCACTTAGCCACTCTAGATAGAAGGGGGACAACGATAGTTCCCCACCTCAGAGGTTGGGTTATTTGATGAGTTCTTGAAGTAAAGCCCCTGGGGCATCAGGTGTGAGTTCTGTGTGTATCCACCACTCTGGGCGGCCTGGGCTTTGCTGTGATGGCTCCCTGACCATGCAGTAACCAGCCTCCTTCCGTCTCTCCTTGCTGTAGGTCGGTGCAGCTGAATGGCCAGCCCTTAGTGATGGTGGACGACGGGACCCTTCCAGAACTGAAGCCCCGCCCACTGAGGGCTGGCCGGACATTGGTCATCCCTCCAGTCACCATGGGCTTTTATGTGGTCAAGAACGTCAATGCTTTGGCTTGCCGCTACCGATAAACCACCCTCACACTCACAAGCTACCAGTGGGCCTGCTGGACTGCTCCCCATTCTTCCACCCTAATAGTATCCTTATTTTTCTGACATCTTCTTAGCAACCAGCCTTTGCCACCCCCATCCAGCTGGAATCAGCATAGACTTGATCTCCAAAGAGACTAAACGTCCTAGTGTGGGCTTAGCTTAGGTAGGTCACGCCACCCCAGAGGGAAATGTAGCCGTCACGTGTACCTGTGTAAGGGTGGGGGCTGTGTGCGGCCTGTACCTTTCTATCTGCGTGCTCCAGGAAGACGAGCTGACGGTGCGCTCCCAGACAACTCCCTGTGGTCAGGGCCACATCGCAGTGTCAGTTCCAACCCCAGCCTCAGCCCCCGACTGCTGTCCTCAACAGAAGATGGGCAAGGACAAAACAGGGTGGATCTGCAAGAACTCTCTCCCCGTCTAACTCCCTCTCCTTTGTCTGTTTCCTGCTGCTGCCCTGGGTTTCCCGCCACCTCTCTTCCCATAGGGGAGCAAACAGGTGGACGAGCTGCGGCCTGCTGGGCGAGCTGTTTGTGTAATTTCCCGGCTGATGTATGAGAGTGTGCGTCTGGGCTTCTGACAGTGCCATCCATCACCGGCTGCCCCTCTGGGAAGCGGGCGCTTCAAAAGTAAAATTACCATCACACAGAGGCTCTGGGAGAGGGCTCTGTTCCTCGGTGGGTCCAGTTTCCCCCAGGGTTGGAACGGGAGTCGGGTAACAGTATTCTGAGTGGAATGCAGCGTATTAGGTACACCGAAAGCAATCATCATCCTTCATGTGGCTGTGAGAGAGAGTTTTAGTACAAAGAGAAAGCACTTGAGACATCAAATGCGTGCACCAACTGAATGAAACAAATTAGGCCTGCCCCCGCATCGAGAGAATAGTTAGGGCTTGATAGGATAAGCCCATGATTCTTGGGCTGCCAAAATCAATTTTAAAAGAAGATGTGACTCAAAGGTCACCACCCTGAGCTACAACCAAATCTAACTTCCAGCCTCTTCCCAAGCAGCAGGGTACTCCCCCAATGGCACTTCCAAGGCAGAAACCCAACCCAGCATTAAAGATGACTGGTCCATCCTATGCTAGGCCAGCTTGTTTGCATGTAGAACAAAGCTTCCGGTTAGCCATCTGGGGGAAGAGTGGAGAAGCCGGAGACAGATCTGATGGCAAAACTGGAATGGCAGGAGGGAAGCTCCCGGGTTGGGGAGTGGAGTGAGCTGAAGTTCATGCATAGGGCCCTCTGTACAATTCAAGGGACGTGTGGGTCTTGACGAACAAACTGCAAATGAAATGATTTTCCGCAGATGTGATTTCCTTCCTCAGGATAAATGGCTCGAAACATGTTTTTCTTAAAAGGAGGAGACATTTGACACTGTCCTGAGTTCCAGCTAAGACGGCGACACAACGTCTGCCATTCGGAAGGATAGAAATGGGGCAGAGGGAGAGGCAGGTTTGCTAAAGGCAGAGCTCAAGGAGACCGCCTAAGATGCCCGAGGAATTAAGGATTCGGGCCAGGTCTGCACAGTGAGACGAGACGATGAGACGAGAGGAAGCAGAGGGTTCCCGGCTGGAGAACTAGGATCTGGGAGTGGGAAGCGACCTTACTTCTGTGCATAAGGAAGATAGACGCGGTTTCGGACATGCTCCTTATCAAGTGCAGGACCAGCACCCAGGACGTAGAGCTGCAGCAAACAAAACCCGGGGGCGGAGGCCTGAGAAGGACCCGTCAGTGACTGCCTAGCATAGAGGCAGCCAGAGAGAGGAGCGAGCCCTGAGACAGCCCCGAGGCTACCCAAAGGGGGCTCTTTTCTCTGAGAGCAGGCACCTCCTGCTGAAGCATCAGCTCTGAGCAGGCAGAGAAAGGCACGCCAAGACTGGAGGTAGGAAGGAGAGAAAAGAAAGGACAGATGGACAGGCCAAAGTGGGGGAGAGAGAGGAAAAGAGAAACGAGACAAGAAGGTTATTCTAAACGGTCTTTTGGCCAGAGGGTGTGTGCGCCCACATGCACATGCTTGAGACACACGAGAGAGAGAGAGAAAGAGGGAGAGAGAGAAAGCGCCCCTCAACGAGGCCGGGTCACACAATCCCCTCTTCCTCCAGTACTCTGTCCCAGCAGAATCCTGGGCAGGTGCACGTGTGTCCGCCATGTTTTTCAGCCTCGAGGCTGGGATTCGAATGGTGAGCCATGTAGGATCTGGCTCCCTCTGCCCAGAGTATAACCGCTGAGCTCTGCCTGCCTCAGACTTGGAAAAGTCGCTTCTGTATACAGGTCAGCTGCAGCGCCGTAGCTAGACGTCCCTCAGGGCCAGACCCTCTGATCGGTTCCGCACACACCGTAGCCTGGATGGAGCTACCAGTTTCCTGGGCCAGGAAGAGGGATTATAGCTTGCTCAGGGTCACTCAGGGGAGAGAGTTGCTGAGTATGGAATTGTCCAGAACCAGCCCCCTTAACCACCAAACTTAGTGGCTAGCCAAGTCGTGGACTCCCCCTTTCACCTCCTCGTAGATTCTGCTCTCAGTACAGCCAGGACTTCCGGAGCTCCATGCAAACACTTTCTGTAAATACATTTTGATTCTTCACTAAGGCTTGTGGAATATAGGTAATTCCTGCTTCTTTTGTTTTTCTCTGTGTATTAAATGCTGCTCTCAAGAGGTTTAAGTTTTGTTTATTTTTTAGTTCATGAAAAAGAAAAGGGAATCGCTGAAATGTACCTTTGGCGTTCTGCAATCCTAACTTTGCTAGTCTCGTGGAAGAAGTATCTGCTTTGTTCAAAGGGCCCTGAGAAACTGGCACATCGTGGTCTGTGGAGATTTTAAAATGCACAGGGCCTCTGTCCTGATCCTTCCCCTTAGGGGATGCGGGGAGGGATGTCCCCTCACACTCCTTCACACACTCTTCCCGAAAGCCAGCCTGCCCTCACCTCAGCGAGGCAGTCCACACCAAGGGAGCAGCTGGACGGGCTGGAACTGGGAAAGGAGCGAAAGCCTCCCCCACCAGCTTCCCCTGAGCAGCTTCTCCCCTCCTCAGATAAGACGTGGCTTCCATGATCTGCGCCTTAAGAGCCGCGTTATTTTAAACCAAAGAGTGGGCTTGCAGAAAAGCTTACTGGAAACAGTAATAATGCATAATGAGAAATCTGGGCCTTTTTTTTAGATGTTTTTTCTGCTTTTCCTGCCTCTAGGAATGATTTTCTTTCTCATTTCTTATCACGAAAGCTCAGAACAAATTCTCATTGTTATTTGGAGAGAAAGTCCCAATTCTAATGTCCTGGGGGCGGGGGGGACCCTGTAACTGTAGGATATGAGCTTTATCAGGGGCTAGAGAAAAGCTTGAAAAGCCAGAGCTGGGCTACAGTGAGACCAAGGCCTGGGACTCCCAGAACCTCACCTCCGAAAGCCCACTGGGAACTCTGCAGCCCCGCCCCTTCCCACCTCTGTGCAGTCACTAGGCAGGTGGTCTCGGCCCACAGGACAGAGATTGCTGGAGGATCCTGAGAGGCTGGCCGGCCCTCAGCACCCGCTGGGGGTGAGGACTCACAGAGAGGCCTGCAGGGGTGCTGGGCATGCTCTCATGGCCCCAGTGAAGGGGTGAAGCCGCAGAGTGGGCGTCCATGCAGAGTGGCTTCATGCCTGACAATATTGAAAGGGCAGTGTTTAATCTCTGCGGAGCAAAGGTGAACCAGGTGGATCCCTCTGACAATAAAAGCGCTGGGACACATGGTAATTAAGTCATAGGACTCCCACATGGCCAACTGCAGTTCAATTCCTGCACCCGGCAGCTTGAAATTCACACCTGGCACGTGTGCATGTGTGCCCAAAATTCTAAGAGGAGACTGGAGGAGAAGGGGATGGTGTGGCCATCCCCCCAGGGGATGATTTCTTGCTTCCCCTCTCTGTCCCTCGCGGGCAAGCACACGCACCCTATGGCAAAAACCTAAAAACCAGAAAAGCACTGGGACAGGAAGGGAACAGTAACAGAGCGGCCAAAAAAAAATAGAGCCTGAGCTCTGAGGGGCGCAAACACGCGTCCAGCGCGGCTCCCTCCACATCCTCCTCCCTCCACGCTCAGCACCTGCCCAGTCCGGCCTCCACTGAGTGCTCCTTCCCACCGACTTGCTCTCCAGCATCCCTGTCACCCCCCTGCCCCCAGCCAGGAGCTCAGGGGAGTCAGCTGTACCGAGGTGGACTTAAATTCCTATTTTAGAACAGCTTGTCATCCTTCCTAAGGATGTGCGAGAACCGGAAAGAAGACAGAACTCCAAAAAGAGTGCTAAAATAAGCACGTTGTGGCTTTTTCATCCCGCTGGCCCTGCAGCTGGAGTCGCCTTAAAAGCGGTGGCAGGGGAATTCCTGCAAAAGAATGGTCCCGAGATAAGACTGGTGGGGACACTGGAGAAGCAGTCACTAGCTGGGGGTCGGTCCAAAGCACCGGTTAGGGGAACTTCCAGAGGGAGCTGCAGCGTATCCTCGAGTCAACGAGAGAAAGGTGCCCTCCCTAGGCGTGTCCACGCGAGGACACATGCTGTTTGCCAGGGTACGGAGTTTATATGAGTTTCCAGAATTTGGCTGAACTGGGCCAGTTTCTTTTAGTGTTTTGGGCAAAACCTAAACACCTCTGTCAAAGTCTGGGTATGCTCAGAACCCCTGGAGGGGCTCGAGCTTGTGAGGGAAATGCAGCCAGCCAGGTCACAGAGCCATCGAGGCACTTTGTGCTTCCCGGACAGGAAGAGAAAAAGGGCGAACCCCAGAGCCTACATTATCATAAGGCCCACCCAGCTGGAGCACGCAGATGCCTCCCTCTGAGTGTAGGCAAAGGCTCTATAACCACCCTTCCTTGACTGAATGCCTCCTTCTTATCAGACAGCTAGTCTCAATCCTCAAAGCAGTCCTGGGTGGTGTGGTATTTCAACTGATTTACAGATGGGGGTTCGGGGTATTAGAGAAGGAACTTGTCCAAGGCCATCTGGAAAACCAGAGAGGCAGAACCGGGATTTGAACCCAGGTCTGAGGATCCCAAAGCCTGTCTCATTACACTGTGCTCCCTCTCATCCGACCGACTAGAACTGCCTTGTTCTCAGTGCGGTGTTGCCCACAGCTGGCTTTCTTCGCACCCCAAGTGTGTCCTACAGAGACCCCTCACAGCGCCCCCCAGAACAGCTGATCTCTGCTGTGTCCTACACAGACTCTCCACAGTGCCCCCCAGAATAGCGGGTCTCTGTGTCCTACAGAGACCCTCCACAGCGCCCCCCAGAACAGCCG